TTCCCCCAAAAAATCCCAGTTTTTTCCCCCCCAAAAATCCCATTTTCCCCCCAAAAAAAATCCCATTTTTCCCCCCCAAAATCTCTTTTTTTTCCATATTTTTAGGGATTTTTTCCCCCAAAAAAATCCCAATTTTTCCCCCCAAAAATCCCCATTTTTCCCGCCGCCGCACCCGCTTTAAGGGCCCCCATTTGCCCAAACCCCCGTTTTTTCCCCCCAAACCCACCTGTCGGTTCCCTTTTTCCCCCGGGCCTGAAGGATCTCGTTGAGTTTCTTCACCACCAACCCCACGGTGATCTCGGTGCCCTTCGCGAACATCTTCGGCTTCTCCTGCCAAAAGCACCCCAAAATCACCCAAAATCACCCCAAAATCACCCAAAATCACCCCAAAATCGGCATTTTTCACCCCAAAATCAGCTTTTTCACCCCAAAAATCACTTTTTTCACCTAAAAAATCACTTTTTTCACCCCAAAATCACTATTTTTACAAAAAAATTAGTGGTTTTTAACCCCAAAATCAGCATTTCTCTCCCCAAAAATCACTTTTTCCACCCCAAAATCAGGATTTTTGCCCCAAAATCAGCATTTTTAACCCCAAAATCAGCATTTTTAACCCCAAAATTAGGATTTTTCACCCAAAAATTAGGATTTTTCACCCCAAAATTAGTATTTTTACCCCAAAATTAGGATTTTTCACCCCAAAATCAGTATTTTTACCCCAAAATTCACCTTTTTCACCCCAAAATCAGCATTTTTCACCCAAAAATCACTTTTTTCACCCCAAAATCAGCATTTTTAACCCCAAAATTAGTATTTTTCACCCCAAAATTAGTATTTTTCACCTGAAAATTAGGATTTTTCACCCCAAAAATCACTTTTTTCACCCCAAAATCAGGATTTTTACCCCAAAATTCATCTTTTTTACCCCAAAATCAGCATTTTTCACCCAAAAATCACTTTTTTCACTCCAAAATCAGCATTTTTAACCGAAAAATCACTTTTTTCACCCCAAAATTAGGATTTTTCACCCCAAAATCAGTATTTTTCACCCCAAAAATCACTTTTTTCACCCCAAAATCAGCATTTTTCACCCAAAATTGCCATTTTTAATCTCAAAAATCAGTATTTTTACCCCCAAATCGCCATTTTTAATCTTAAAAATCAGTGTTTTCCCCCCCAAATCAGTGATTTTTAATCTCAAAAATCAGCTTTTTCACCCCAAAATCAACATTTTTCACCCCAAAATCACTAATTTTACCAAAAAATTAGTGGGTTTTACCCCAAAATTAGCATTTTTACCCCCCAAATCAGCATTTTTACCCCAAATCAGTGATTTTTAACCTCAAAACCATTTTTTTCCACCCCAAAATCAATATTTTTCACCCCAAAATCACTATTTTTACCAAAAACTTAGGGGTTTTCACCCCAAAAATCCACATTCTCAACCCCAAAATCCTCATTCTTAACCCCAAAAATGCCCATTTTTCACCCCAAAATCCCTATTTTTACCAAAAAGTCAGTGGTTTTTAACCCCAAAATCAGCATTTTCACCCCAAAATTAGGATTTTTCACCCCAAAATTAGGATTTTTCACCCCAAAATTACTATTTTTCCCAAAAAATTAGTGTATTTTACCCCCAAAATCAACATTTTTAACCCCAAAAATCAACATTTTTCACCCCAAAATTACGATTTTTTACCCCAAAATCACTATTTACACCCCAAAATCCACCTTTTTCCTCCCAAAATCAGCATTTCGACCCCAAAATCACTGGTTTTCCCCCCAAAAATCCACGTTTTTCCCTCCCAACCCCCCGTTTTTTACCCAAAACCCCCGTTTTTCGCCCCAAACCCACCTTGACGAGGGGGACTCCGCACTTGACCTTCTCCCACTCGCCCCCTTCCTCCTCCTCCTCCTCCTCCTCGCGGCGGCTCTTCCGCTCCAGCTTCTTCTTCGCCTTCTCCTCCCGGCGCCGCTCGGCCCCACGGCGCTCCTCGTCCCTGGGGGGCAGCCCCATAGATCTGTGACCCATAGATCCTGACCCATAGATCAGCCCTGCCCCATAGATCCCAAAAACCCCCTGGATCTGCCCCACAGATCCCATCCTGCCCCAGAGATCCCATAGATCCTGTAGATCCTGCCCCACACATCCTGTGCCCCATAGATCCCAAAATCCCCTGGATCGGCCCCATAGATCCCATCCTGCCCCATAGATCCATCCTGACCCACAGCCCCTGCTCAGCCCCACGGCGCTCCTCGTCCCTGTGGGGCAGCCCCATAGATCACACAGATCAGCCCTGCCCCACAGATCCTGACCCATAGATCCCACAGATCCCATCCTGCCCCATAGATCCATCCTGACCCACAGCCCCTGCTCGGCCCCACGGCGCTCCTCGTCCCTGGGGGGCACCCCATAGATCAGCCCTGCCCCATAGATCCAATAAATCCCCTGGATCTGCCCCACAGATCCCATCCTGCCCCATAGATCCCATGGATCTGCCCCATAGATCCCAAAAATCCTATCCTGCCCCATAGATCCTGCCCCACAGATCCCATCCTGCCCCACAGTCACCACTCCACGCCACGGCGCTCCTCGTCCCTGCCCCATAGATCCAGGGTCAGTCCTGCCCCATAGATCCCAAAAATCCCCTGGATCTGCCCCACAGATCTCATCCTGCCCCATAGATCCTGTGACCTATAGATCCTGACCCATAGATCCCCTGGATCTGCCCCATAGATCCCACAGATCAGCCCTTCCCCATAGATCCAGCCCCATAGATACCATAGATCCCATCCTGACCCACAGATCCCATCTTGCCCCATAGATCCCCTGGATCTGCCCCACAGATCCCATCCTGCCCCATAAATCCATCCTGCCCCATAAATCCATCCTGATCCATAGATCCGGGATCCTTCCTGCCCCATAGATCCCATAAATCCCATCCTGCCCCATACATCCATCCTGCCCCATAGATCCTGACCCATAAATCCTGACCCATAGATCCTGACCCATAGATCCCATAAATTCCATAAATCCTGCCCCACAGATCCATCCTGACCCACAGACACTGACCC